CCCAGCGGCGGCCGCTTCGTGAGGGGGCGATGGGGGCAGCCCCTGTGTGGACGTGGGGTCAGGCAGCGTGCTGAGGCAGGCGAGCTGTCCAGAGGAAAAAAAAAAAAACCAAACAAACCAACCCAAAAACTGCCATTCCTGAACGTTTACAACCTGTGTTGGCTCAAAGCCCTCAGCTCCCCCCACCTCCAGTGCTGGTGGTGGGGTCAGGGCCTGCAAGAACAAAATGCTTTTTGGGTGAGACACAGAGTGTGGAGATTGTTCATCCTCATACGTGCGTGCAGGCAGCTGGGCACCTCCTCCCCACCGTCCTCAGCAGCAGCTGCATTGCTTTGCCTCCTCCCCGCAGCTCTGGCGTGTGCCACCTCGCACCCCGTCCCTCACAACGCACTTTGTCTCCCCCCAGGCCCTGGACGAAGCCGCCCTGACAGCGCTGGCGGAGACCCTGAAGCAGCACAGCATCGATCACGAAGTATGGACTGAGCAGCCCGAGAACGTGGCCATCTCCCTGGCGCTCAGGCCCTACCCCAAGGACCAAGTGCACCAGCACCTGAGGAAGTTTAAATTGCTGAAGTGATGGGTCGGGAGCAGCTCTTCTCCTGGGCCAGAGCCGAGCTCAGCCCCGCTGGGAGGAAAGCTGCTGTGTCTCGGGAGCGCTGTGCTAATGGCTCAGCAGCAGGTAGTCAGTCTCCTCGCATGGTGATTGCGGTTAGGTGGTGTGAAAGGGCTCTTTGGTGGGGAGGATTAAATGTTACTCTGTGCAGAATGTGCCTGTGTGTTACGTCAACCTGCCCTCTGCGTGCCGTCAGCCCGCTTGGACGTCTTGCCCCTGCCAGCACAGGCAAACTTTTAGGTTGTGCCAAACCTGAAAATATCTCTGGTGCTTTTTAGGGGTGACCTTTCCCTTGGGCAGCCCTTTGAGCCTCCCCGTCCGCCTGTCTGTCCATCCCAACGGCTTCCTTCTCCATGCCTGAGCTCCGCAAGTGGGCCCTGGCTGCAGACACAGCCGTCCGGTGGCTCTGGTCCTCCCTATGGATTTGGTGCCGGTTCTGCCAGCACAGCCACGTTCCCGGCGCCTCTCCCACCTCCACCCCTCTATCCGTGGCTGCGGAGCCACGCCGGATTGCTTTTTCCTCCCGCGCCAGTGCAGCCGGTTTGTCCACGATTATATTTGCGCTGAACTGTGTGACAAAACCCCACTGTGAACAGCAGACGGCAGCATCGGCTGGTGAGCCGAGACTCGCCGCAGACCTCATTCTGCAGTAAAATAGTTTGAAATGAGCCACTTGGTTAAAAAAAAAAAGTGCGTCGTCAGCTAGAAGTGCGCGTGTCCCACTTCTCCCTGTCCTGGTTGTGCTGTTAATGCCACTGTCACCCCCTGCTCCCCCGATTTTCCCCTTTTCCAGGGCTAAAGGTGAGCACAGAGTAGCTCCTTGTGGCCTTCAAGCTGTTTCTCTCACTCCTCTCCGTCGCAGCCAACCCAAGCGGTGTTCCCACCTCGGTGTTGGGCACTGCCAATCGCCCCCACGGCAGTGCTGGGGAGCACTCTCCCACCAAACCGAGCACCGAACCCCCCCAGTAACCCCCCTGCTGCAGCAGGGCAGGATCCCGCCCCGGTTTAAAACAGCCCCTGAGCCGCTGTCACAGCTGCCGCCCCCCACCTTAGATAAAAAACCCGGTGTCACCGCGGGGAGCCGCACCAAAACCCGCTGCCCACCATCTGCGCCGCGCTCCAGCGGTGAATTCGGTGACCGACAACCACACGCACACCCTCTCTATATTTTCTCTACAGCGCTTTGGGATTTAAAAAGGTATTTTTTTGTCACCGAGCTCCGCACACCGGCTGATTTCCAGCTCTCCGGCGTGACGAACCGCGGTGACGGAGAGGGATTCCCGGTGCGAGGCCGGGGTGACCCCCCAGCTGCCCACACCTCCTGCCCCGGCGTCGCGGCGGCGTCCCCATCGGCACAGAAACAACGAAACGTTAGCTGGTAACTCCG